ATTTGGCAGGAATATAAACTATTCATTAGTAGGTTATAGAGAATACCCATCATCCTAACGTATCCTTACTTCTTATTGTACACTAAAGCATAAATTAGGATAGATCATGGGATTTGGGATTTATGTAGATATCAATGAACTTTTGTTCTGGACTTAACAATAATAGCCATCACCATTTTCATTGAGAATTTATGTTCTAAGCATTTACCTCTTATTCTCAGTATAGTTGTTCATTTCCTCATTTTAAAACTGAGGGTGGGAAGCCTGAGAGAAGATAAATAAGTTGCTCACAGTTGTTAAGTAATAAGAATGGAAATTGGGCCTAGACCTCTCTGATTTTAGAGTATGGTAGTGAAAGCTTCAGCTCTTATACCTTTTCTTGCTTTGGCAAGTGTGAGCTAACAGTTTTAAACCTGAAAGTCTTTATGGTAGAAAGATAATACCAAGTTAGAGGGTTAGTTTGATAATTAAAGTACACATACATATAGAATAAGTTCTTAGTGAGTATAAATTTCCTTCCTCTATTCAATTTATGCATGAAGATTCCTGCAGTTATTACAGTTCAAAAAATTTGTAAGCTATCTCCCTACACAACAACAATAAAAATTCTTCCCATTCTAGGGAGAGTTTCTATTCTTTCATTTATATTTAACATATAGAAACGTAATCCATTATATGAAAAAAAATCACATGTGGATTTGAAATACCACTTAAATCTGTTTTCAACTCTCCCTATACCTTATTCCCAGTCTAGTCTAGCACACTTAACTAGGTTCACTATACCTAACTGAACTTCAAATAGGTAAAAGATTAACAAACACAGAAATTGCCTGGAAATTTATAATCTATTGATGAAAGTTTATCAATAATTTTACGAAACTACTTTTTTTGTTCTTCCCTCTTCATCTAGCAGTTACTATTTTTACTGGTTAAAATCCATAGAAACTCATGACTAAGATTTCATTACTTTTAGAGAATACACTACAGTACATTTACTATAAATAATTCACACCATACTACGCTTGTCAAAAGGAATGAACAAAGTACGTATCATGGAGCAGGAGACTTGATTTTTATTGTTTTTGCTCACTTACTCACTAATTCTCTACCTCCAGTTCCTTGTCACTGTGAATTAGAGCTCTTCTGCTATATACAAATGTTGTATTCTGGATAATTAGATATCAGGATAGAAGCTTCTAGAAATTACTTTAACTGGTGGCAGAACTGAAGCAAATAAGAAGTTTTTAGTTTCTCTTTCTAGTTTGGGTTATTTTCTGACCCTAAAGAGCCTGACATAAAGGAGCGCTTTTCTTTGTCAAAGGCAGCCTTTTCAAATCTAACTGCTAGACACACTATTGAGCTATGTGTTCAATTCTAATTGGCTGAGATCGTTTCAATTCGGCAGTTTCATCTTTAATGCAATAGATGTAAGATTATGTGTAGGTCTTTTCAATGGGTTTTCCATACTGGTGATTAGGGCAGAGGATTTGAACATAAGCAGGCTGCTGGCTATTTCTTCTGGCCAATTTAAAATGATTCATACAAGTCCTTTGTACCCCAGGGAAAGGGCAGAACAAATCCAAGTGAGTGAGACAGCTATTGCCACACTTTCAGATGGAGTAGTAGAAATCGAGGGGCGGGGGGAGACTTGGGGAGGAGGAAAACTCTAAATACTGTAAAATTGAAGCACTAAGAAGTCTAGCAGAGAAATATTGATGCTTAACCAGTAGGCTTCTGTGTAGAATCAAGGTCACTAGGAAAATTATTTCCAAGATTGATTTTGATAGCCTTAGGCTAAAAGGGCTATGTAAATAGAAAGTGTTCACCATATCTGATTCCACAGAAACCAACAGTGAGAGAACTCTTTTCTGAAATTATTCCAAAAGTGAGTAGATAACTTTTCCAGAACTCCAAAGCACTCCTGGATGTGCTAACTCAGAATGGTAGAAAGAAGGTTAGCTACAATTTAGTTTGGGTCATGTGAAAGCTCTGTCTCAGCCTCACCCGGAGATGCATGTTGAGAAAGACTCCTCAGTTTTCTGTTGAAGAGGGTAGACGAGGACGCGTTATTCAAACTGAGCGTACCCAAAGTACTCCTTTTCGACTAGTCCCTGGTCCTGCAGCTTCCCTCTAGTTTCTTCCTGAGATAGACTAGTGTATATGATAAACCACAGTGGAACCACTTCTTGAGCATTTCTATTCTACAAAGAGGGACTCTAAGGGGAGTTTAAGTGCTTCCTCAGCTTCATTTTCTCATTATTGAGGAAAAGTTTAGTAAGCCATGTCAATTAATTTGGTAACGTCCTCTCTACGGGAAAAGGGTGGCATTTTTTAAATTCAAAGAACACAGAAATTGATGGTGTTGACATACTAACAAGGCCATTTCAATCCTCTCTTCACATACGAAAACAATATGGTATTTCTCTAGCTAGAAAAAATGGCAAGAAAATCATTTTGCCAGTTTGACTTGCTTTGCCCCAGAACATATGCAGAACATCCATCTGGCTCTTGAGTGCTAATACTCAATTTGTTAAAATTCATAGTAATAATGGAATTCAACACTAATGCCTGGCACAGCAGTTGAACAAATAAAGGTGACAAATATAGCGTATGTTGCAAAGATCAGTAGGCAAGTTCCATAAAGTAAGGGATTTTTGTTGTTCTTTGGAAGGAAATCCGAGGACTTTATACAATGATTCATTATTTCGTAAGGTGTGGAATTCCACTAGAAAGTAAAAGTAAAGCCAGCTTTCAACTATCACTCTCAATCAACTAAAACATACCAAGTCCACCCCTGTGAAGAGCTAGCTGCAGCAGCAATTTCCGAGCTGCCTCCCGGAAGACTGATGCTTTGTAAGCAGACTTACTCTGGAACTCACACTTCTTTAGAGACGCTGTCTGAGAATCTCTTGAATAAATGCAATGTATTGAGTAAGTAGAACTTAATAAGGCCTCCCAAAGCTTCAGAATACTTAAGTTTTCTTCTAACTGGTAATTAAAATATAGAGCTACTTAGAATTATTTTGATACAAAGTAGACCATTATATTTAACAGAAATGCATTCAGACATTCATCAAAAGATAAGCACAGTACACAGGGATGTGTGTGTTCATACAATATTAGCAATTTGAAAATTACCTAATTATGCAAATTTCAGGTTGACATTGTCCAGCTGAAAATTATCCAAATGCCCATAGATAGAATGTATAAATTGTCATGTACTGTAGTCAAAAACCATTGTATTATACAGCAATAAGAATGAATGATATACAAATGGATGATCTCACAAATTACTGACCAAAAGAAGCCAGCCACAAAATAATACATGCCATAGTATTCACCTAATGGAAAGTACAGAAAAAAGTAAAACTGTTCCAGAAAGCATTAAACTATCCTCGTGTGATAGACTGGACGACAATATAAGTAGGGCTTCCAGGGTACTCGTCCTGTCCATTTTTATCATCTGGGTACTGGGTGGGTTCCGTTTGTAAAAATTCACTGAGCCATATAGATATTATATGTGCAAAGGTGTGTGCATTTTCATTTTCATAATACTCAAAAAAGTAAAAATATATCACAAACCTATATCTAACTCTGACTTGCCATGCCATGTCTGTTCACTTTTTATTAAAAGAGCTCCCATATCACTTTTCATTAGCACTCTTCCGAACTGTTTTTCCTTCTCCTGTCTCTGTAATTATATGAGCTCCCTGTTTCCATCCATTAAACTCATGTAGAAACATTTCAGATCAACTTGGTAGCCTGAGAAATCTTACAGTTTATCTGCTGTACTTTTCAGTGTGCTCTTTTGTTTCTAACATCAAGAAAGAGAAACATATTTGTTCACATAAACTTCCTAAAAAGTAGAGTAGTCATCAAAAGTTAAAATAACAACGAAAATGATTCTGAAAAGTTTGATGTGTTATAATATTCAATTATAAATCTGTAATTTCAATGATGATATGTACCATTTCATGTCACCTGAAAAAAATCTGAAATCCTTAGGAGATCATGTGCACATGTAGAACTCACTTATGAGGCACAATATATCATAATTTCAGTGACAAAGACACTGTTTCTCCTATGAATGTCTGCAGTACTCTTCCTGGAAATGAATTTGTTATCAGTCATCTTTTTTTTTTAATTTTTTTTTTGGTACTGGGGATCAAACTCAGGTCCTTGCGCTTGCGCAACAGGAGGAGAAACCACTGAGCTAAATCTCCAGCCCCCGTCATCTTTATTTTTGACCTAATACTACTACTACTGTTAATTATCACTATGAAAATACCAATTATTAGGTAGGAGTTTTTATGCCAGCCACTGATTTAAGCAATTTGCACATAATATCTTACCTTATTCACAATCTTGTGCAGTAGGAATTGTTGTTATCTGCCCTTGTCAGATGAAGAAACAAGAGCTCACTCAGCAAGATTCCATAACTTGCACAAGGTCAAAGAACATGCCTGATTTAAACCCAGGCATCCTCACACCACAGCCTGAGCTCTCACCATTCTGTGTCAAATTTGTCTATACTTAAGTACTAACTTTGGCTCCCCTACCTTTTTTTAAAAGCATAAGCATCTTCAGCAGGGTTTGATTACAAATATTCCTTTATTTTTTATGTTTTAAAAATTTTAAATCCATATCAAAATTGTCCTTGCAAAGAGATAATGACTAGCTCTAAGTCTTCTCTACTATCACCACCTATGATTCTGGTCCTCTAGTACTTAGAAATGCAATAATCCATTCATTCCCTTCTCAATGTGCCAATACTGAGAATGCCTCCTGCTCATTATAGCCCCATTGTAGCCCTGGAGTTGCTATCCCTAATGATGGTCTACTAGAATCTTTGATCCAAATCCCCAGAGATTCAAACACAATCTACAGAGGAAGTGGGAGTGTACGAACCACACAAGCAAAGGAATTATTCATGCACTGACATAATCTTTGCACACAGTTCAATGTGTCACTATAGAAATGCAATGATGAAAAAAATATACCTTTTTCATAAGCCCACATCAAACATGTCTGCTCATTTTTTTCACCACTAGACCTGCTGGGATCACAAGCAACTAGATTCATATCAGCCCCATTGTCCAGTAAGAACTGAACCAGGTGAATGTGACCATGGTAGCAAGCAGAGTGTAATCCTATAATAGAACACAATAAAAGCATGAAAGAAAAAACTGCACTTCGATTTTCAAAAGACAGTCATAACCACATATTAGTGTTGTTTCCAGAGATAGAAAGCAATGACTGATATCTTTGAAAATGAATTATTTTTATTAAGAAAACAAGTATTCTTTTTTAATGAATCTTCTATATAAATTATCTTTAGCTCATCACGATTTCTAGCATTTCACCATTTACAGTAATTGCTAAGAACAAATGTTAGTATTTTTTCATAAGAAAAAGAATGAAGGTGCCAACCAGAATTTTTCTTGAGAACCAAACCAACAGCAGGATGGTGTGTTCAGTTCTTTCTGGTCTAGGTCATAAGAAGGCCCACTGATTGTAAATATTTAAGACAACACTGAAACTGAAAGAAAAACCCTGCACTATATTATCACCATTCACCATCAATTCTAAATGAAGTCGGTTTATAAAGTACCTCTTCCCTGGAGGTTGAACGCTCCTCCGAAGCCCCTTTCTTTTTTTTCCTGGTACCGGGGATCAAACTCGGGACTTTGTGCTTTCGAAGCAGGCAGCGGCATCACTGAACTAAATCCTCGGTGCCTGAAGCCCCTTTCTTTCTTGGCGCCTCGGAGCTCTTGAGCTTTGATAAGCAAGTGGAACCAGTGATGTTCTCACCACACTCTTACCTGTGTGCCCATCTCTTCCTTGGTGACTGATGTTTACCACATTCTGATCAAGAAGAAATTTAACCAGATCAATGCTCTTGCCATAGGTACAAGCACTGCAAAAACATAAAAATAAAAATAACCCTTGTTATGGACTGTATTGTGCCTCCTCCCAAATGTTGAAGGTGGGATTTCTCTAACCTCAGGCTATGACTACTCTCAGGGACATTATCCTTAAAGAGGTGAGTAAGTTACAGTGGGGTCAGTAAGGTGGGTCCTAATTCAATTAGACTGCTGTCTTCGTGAGTAGAGGAGATTAGTACGCATCTGACATGTAAGAGGGATGTCCTTGTGAAGTTTGCTATAAGGTGGCCATCTTCAGGCCAAGGAGTAAGATCCTGGAGAAAGTCAGGCTTACTCACACGCCTTGGACTTTGTAGCCTCAAGAACTGTAAGACAATAAATGTCTGTTATTTAAGCTACTCAGCCTCTGGTATTTTGCTACTACAGGCTTGGAAACCAATAGAGCTTTAACACCAGCCACTCTAGGTGCTGATATTTATACAAAAGAGCCAAAAAGACACAGAAAGGAGAAGAAAAGTAGTGAGGAAAAGGAAGTAACGAAAAACAACCAAGCATGGTCTAATGAAACTGAGCATAGAGATGCACAGCCATAATCCCATCACTTTGGAGACTGACATAGGAAGTTCACAAGTTTGAGTCCACCTCGGCAACTTGGTGATTTATTGAGATCCTGTCTCAAAATCGAAAATGAATAAATAAACAAAACAGGGCCAGGTGCTGGGTTCCATCACCAGTACTACCCCCACAAAAAAGAGGGTAAGTAAAATGTGAACACAGAGTTGTGTCAAATGTCTAGTACTTTTAGCAAGTATTTCCTGTCATATCAGGTCTTCTTTAACCTAGGAATTACTCTGCAGGATGATCAAATAAATGCAGGAGGTTCCTGAGAACTTTTCTCAAATTCAGCTCAAAGTATGAAATTATTCCCCAGAAAACCCATCTGATGTCTCTCTGAAGACTTTCTTGAGCAGAAAGTTGGATCTCAGAGCTGTCCTTTCACTAAGGGTGCATTGTTTGTGGACTCAAAATCCAGAGCTCTTCCAGACTCTAGCCAGAGGACCTGGGGATGTTCTTTGACTTCTGGAATTTTAGTTTTACCACCTATATAACATAATGATAGATAATCCCTTCCTCATTTGCCACAATGTTGTTGAAGTTTCAAATGGATTAATGCTTATGGGGTTACATTACAAGCTGTGGAAGAGGTTCATTATTCAGCTCTTTTCAATTGGGAGGAAAAATTAACATATTTTTTGAACCCAAAGACATACAATTTTTAGAGATAAATTTTAAACTAGATTTGTTGAAGCTATTTAATGAAAAGTTTGATTTCTATTTTTTATTGAAAATAAAAGATAAAAATGATTTTGCATAAGATAAATAAATCGTACCTCTTAGTGGATACTACATTTCTTTTTTGACTATTACTTCTTATAAATTTCTTTTTCCTTGTGTTTCTCTCATACTTCTGCTTTTGCTATAACTTGTGCAATACCAATACTTTACTTCCAAACCCTGGAGAGCTATGAGGCACTTGGTGGGTGACCTGAGGGACGTAGCAATTGCAGAGCCCTACCTGACCATGGCTACAGGAAGGGACTTGACTCTAGAAGGGATAGTTCACTGGGTCTACTATTTCCTGGGATGACCTTGACCAAGTCATTTTTCTTTCATGAACCTCCACTGAACCTTCACACACTTGAACTATTGTTCTCTGTCTGAAGTCTTCTCATGAATCGAAGGCGGAAGTCATTTCTGATCTGCTTCCTTGTTACTTCAGTCTTATGGCCTTGTTATATTGTGTATGGTAAGGGAGTCACAGTTTACCTTCATACCTTACAACAGAAGTGAAGGGGTCCTGTCATCTTAATATTCTTATCAGTATTAACACAAGGCAGGTTCTTAATAGATCTTTCCTGAACAACTGAATGACTAAAACCCCACTATCTCAGTGCAGTATATCATAGAATTATTGACTATTTTAATAAAAAAAATGACCCATAACACTACATATTTAATAGTCCATTGTCTGAATTGCTTTGTTTCTTTTCAAAGTGATTACATATAGAAAATGATGAGTTCTGAATATATACCTGTGTGTGTGTTTACACATACATGTGTGCTTATATATATATATATATATATATATATATATATATATATATACAGGAAAATATTAATCTGTTATTTCTAGTAGCCACAGCCCTATAAAAAATAAAATAGCTGGGTTTATCCTTTTGACTCACTTCACAATGTCATATAGACAACCTTCTGGAGGTGACAGTCATTCCGTGACTTACAGTTGGTTCCAGTTCCTGTGCATGGGGTAGCAAAATGATTTGAAAGCTAGCTTGAGGTGTCAGCACAATGGGCACGACCTAACAGGAAAGCGGATACCAGCAAGTGAACATATGGGTTCTGCCAATTTTCCTTTCCTTCAGGGACAGATCCCACTGATCCATTTTGACTGATAGTATGATCTGAAGAGTTCTTGTCTCGGTGATGTTACCAAATATGCAAAAAAACCGACAAAATATTTTGGTAGTACAACATAAAGATATACACAAAGAATATGACTTGGAATTAGGCAGACATTTATACATTATTTTCCAGCCATAAGGAAGACTCAGTTCTTTTTTCCAAGATGATAGTTTTCATGAAGATTAAGTGAGATAACAGATATAAATAATGTGGCTTAACTTCCCTTTTGGCATGTCTCTTTGGCTGATTAAAAAAAACCTTGTCACTCCCAGTGAAATTTGACAGGTCCATGGTTGATGTCGAAGCACAAGCTTATTTTAGTTTAGTATGAAGGAAAGGGTGTCCTCATTTCTATTTATTCACCATTGCAACACAAACATAGTATAAACAATTGAGTTCCAAACACTTTTCAAATCTTGCAAACTGGTTATGAAATATATAACATGTAAGTAAACGATGTTATATTCAAGATTTACTAAATTAAAATGACTATGCTTTTCTTTTTCTAATAAAATATTAAACAAACATGCAGATTTTAAATTTTATAAATCAGTCACTTTCCTTTTGGACATTTTAGGGAGCTATGGCTCTGAGGTATTAGTTATTAGCAATATTTTCTTTATTTTATTTTTTTTCCTTTGGTTGCAACTTTTCCAATCAGTGTGCTTTTGAGGTCACTCTGTAAAGGGCTCTCATAGGTCCCTAGAAAAGAGCTCACACTTTCTTAGGTATCTCAGTGGCCATCCTGACAAGGCATTTATAGGCTGACAGATGGATGTCTTAGATAGGTGAACACATTTGCACAGAAGTTTTAAGTAGTAAGGAAAAAATGTGTCACATGTGATGCTGATGAATTCTGGTAATGAGATTCTTGTCCCAGGAAGATTATGGGCACAACCCCTTTTGGCAGCTTTCCACAAAGTGAAGAGGAATAGAAGCAACACGCTCACAGATGTTGATATACCAGTTGCCTTGGCAATGTCAGTTCCTGTCTTTGTGGCTGCAGCCAGGAACACAGCATCTGGCTGCAGCCCCATCTGTTGTTCTGACTGCAGCATCTGCCTCTACCTTTTCCTCTGTGCAGCTAGCATGGGCTCCTTGTCCTCTGCTCTACTCTGCTATTGCTCCCTGATTGCAACATCTGCCACTATTTGTTCTTGCTCTGTGTACACAACTTCAGGTGCTGTAGTGTGTCATCTAAGTTTAGAGGCTTGTGCACATAAATATTCTTTTACCTGTGAAAAGCTGTCTCACTAAAGATGTTTTCCTTAGTCAAACTTTCTGTTCCAGTTATTTGAATGATCTCCTTAGCAACTTCAAATTTGCCATTGTAGCATGCCCTAGATTTAAAGAAAATATTTTGTTAGGAGGGTACATATGATGTAATGGACTGATGGAGCTCTATGTGATACTCACAAGTGCAAAGGAGTGTCTTCATAGATATTAACAACATGAGGCTGAACTTCCGAGTCACTTTGGAGCAGATACTTCATTATCTCGTGATGGCCAAAATGAGAACAGAAATGCAGTGGGTCATGGTCTTCATTATCCTGAGCATTCACTGTTATCAGCAAGAAAGCAAAAGATAATTTATCTAGAACCTGTTGTTTTTCAAACTTCATATTTATAAACTTGGTCTTATGTCCTTGACTTTTCCTAAGTACCTAAAAGACCCCTGGAAATTGCCAATTAATGGTAATAATAGAGGAAACTACTGTCCAACCAATTAAAAAGTTACAATTCTACTCCACTGCCTATTACTACATTAAATAAGCTCTCTTCTAGATCCCATAAATTCGATGGAATGCATCTAATCCAATCTACCTTGCACAATGGAGTAGTTCAAAAAATCAATAGCCATTCCAAAGGTACTTGTAGCTTAATTTCCATAAGCATCCCCTTTCAAATTGATTATTTTCATCTGAAGCAATGTTAAGCATTTTGGATTCTGACAAGAGCACCAAACTGAGATTTTGGTTTGGGAGGTCATGGTGTAATCTGGGAGTATCTGTATGTTTACAACACTATGTAGGAGGTTCTCATGAGAGTTTCCATAATATACTGCTCAAAGCATGGTATAAAAAAAACCTTTTAGAGGAGGCTGACTTCATGAATCATGTTGCCTTAAACAGGTAGTGGGCATTTGTCCTTCTATTTGGACCAGCCAGCTTCATAATATCGTATATTATCTGGGAAGTACCTTGTAGTGCAGGAACTGATGAGAAGCCAAGACCATGTTCTATCAGTGAAACAGAAAATCTACTTTCCAAGACTCCTTTGCCTTTAGGGCAAAAGAATGGGAGACAGTGACCACATAGGGCCTGTTGCCCTGTAATAATTCTTAGTAGCACCTCTTTTGCTCTCAAAGCAGTGCCCTGCTTTGGGTTTCTATTACCTTCAATCAAAACACTGTAGCATCACTAGCCTTTGCAGGTGACCAAAGACCAATAATCCAAACCAGGGCCTAACCTATCCGAGCAATGTGGTCCTGGTGGCAATAGTGCCATTTGATATACAATGGTTGCAATTCCCATCACAGAGTCACTGTCGTACATTGCTGGTTTCCGAAGTACAAAGTTGGTGTTCATCTAGCAGGGCTGGCTTTGTGTCCTCACAGGACCTGTTGAGGTCATGACTTTTGGTGTTGTTTCTCCCTGTGAGTATTTTAGGCCTGGGTTTCTACCTTGTTTCTGGGAAGATTCTGAGTGTGACTTGATAGTCATTAGGGTATTCTTTCTCTGTTTAAATTGACAAGTTAGCTTCTGATTCTTGAGAATCAAATGACTGGTGCACTCTCATTTCTCAGTATCACATGATTGGTATTTGTCACCACTATGCTGGCTTTAGAGGTGGCAAAGTCTTTTCAGTAATGAAGGATATAGGAACATCACTGTTGCAGAGACGCTGAAGGGGTTAAGGGCCCCATGACAGCAAGGCAGCTGGCATCTGTCACTTATTATACATTTAATAAAGTTACCTATTTCTTATTTTCCCTCTTAGTAATTTTCTAACTGCTTATTATGTGGGTAGCATATATCTAAACTTCAAACACATGCAAATGGTTTGCATTCTAAAGTTGCCCACTAAAATAGGTAACCTGATCAACAGAGGGAAATGCATTCTTGATCTCCTGTTTTTAGGAGACCCCCAAGACTGCAAAAAATCCCCAACCTCACAGCATAATCCATCTCACTATGAGCACCTGCACTCCTTTCTGTGCCTTAAAAAAAAAGACATTTGTTAAGTGCTAAAACCAAGACCAATAAACTGTACACGCATAGAGTTCAAACTATTGAATAACTTAGTTTAGTTAAATAGTCAAAAATTACAAGATTGAAGTCATAATAAATGAACATCAAATGGTTCAACTTGGGATCTGGCTTTGTGTCAATATTTTAAAACTAAAATAATTGGATTATTGCTCTAGGCATTTGTTTGATTATATGATTCCTTTGTCCACATTTACTTATTATTTGATACCTTTGTTGAACCTAAAGAACTGAAAAAAAGAAACATTTGTCTTTCAAAATTAATAAAGAACAGGAAGGGAAATTAAGAGAGGGTAATAATAACTTAAAATTGCAATAATTTATTACTACTACTGTATAATCATCATGCAATGATTGATAAATATTGATTTAGACCTTGTAGCCATTATATTTACTGGCAACTTTTCTCTCGTTCTTTTTATTTTTGTCTTGCAAGATTTTATGCCAAAGGAAATCTTTAACAAGGACCCTGAACTTTTCCTCCTGAGGCTGTTATTGAAAAATCTTTGAATCTTTTTTATTAATGAATAGCTCAGAAAGACACTTTTCTTTCAGAAGGATGTTTCTGGTTCTTTTGATTTTCTTACTTTTTATGACACTTTCCTTTGTTTGGATTTTGTTCCAAGCCAGGGAAAGTCAATGGCATGGGTCAATGGCTGAGCACAGTCTGTGTGCAGGGCATTTAGGAGACTTGTAAGAGTTTGTGAGAACCAGGAAGGAGACTGTGGAGCAGAATGTACTTCAATCTTCTGTTAATTAATAATTTTCCTTTAATCATCCCAGTCCCACTAATATTATTATTATTCTCCAACAGAATCAATCAACTTCAAGATAGGTTATCTACTTGGTGAATTACCTCCAGTGGCCCAGACGTTCTTCCTACCAAAGAAAATGTAACTGTGAACTGAAGAAATAAGGGATCCGATGCAGGAGTTAATGTGTATATACCTCTGTTTTTGCTTCAGTTATCTATTTATATTTTTCTTGGGCCAATTAGCAAAATTATTATTAGCAAAATATGTAAATATCATTATACTTTATTTTAAGAATACTGAATGTATAAATGATATTCTGTGTTCCAACTTAATATCTTATCAAGAGATTTAGATAAAGGACACTTTCAAACAAAGAAATATGTGAATCTTCATTAGAGAAGTATTTAGTTTCTGTCTTCCTCTTTGAAGAGAGCACATGTTCAGTAAAGTCTTTTAAAAGAAAGATTGCTTGAATGGGTAGGTAGATGAAAGCTGCTTTTTCTTATTTTTGATTATTGAACTTAAAGATAAAAATTCCCAGATTAAACCAGAAATGTCTGAAAATCCCAGAGGGTTTTAAAGTAAATCCCAAATGTGTCTTAAATGAACTTTAAATCTTTGAAAGCTCCAACAAGATTGAAAAAAACCCCTGAAACAATAGTAACACAAAACCACTCCTCTACTGAGCATGCTCTAGAAATGCTTTTGTGGATTTCTGAAATAGCTGGTTCAGCGTTAAAGGACTGATACCTAAAAAAATTATAGCATTTGACGTTGAGATGACAAAAATTAATGAATTCTCAATTTAAGTTTTTATCTATTTTCAACTTTATTTAAATGATAAATTTTGAGGACTATATAACCATTTTTTAAGAAGTCCAGAAATATTTTGGTCTTTTTAACCTCATTTAATAGGTATTGCATTTCTCCTTTTTCATTGCCCTGAGAGATACAAAGAAGTAGACGAGACTTAAAACATACTTTCCTGAATAGGTCAGCCTTTTAGACATGCTGAACTGAAGAGTGTGCTTTCAGAATCACATTTGGGCCAATTTTGTAACCTAAATTTATTCTCATTTGTGACATTCTGTTACCATGGATACACACTGTAAATACCAGATTTCAAATTGTGCTCCTTTTGGGGGTCATGCTTTTAATCTTCTTCTTATGTCCATTTATCACAGGCAAAATCTAAATTTAAAATAAATCATCTTGAGGCTTAGCTACATTTTTGTAATAAGTGAACTAACTAATAATACATCCTGCAGTGTGTCCATCAGCATCATAGATCTTCTGGTTTATTTTTTGCTATTGTTTGAAGTGCAAAAGGCTCTTAAATATCAAGTGTATATTAGAAAGAAATAAAAATACTTGAAAGTCTGAATTCATGCTGTCTCTTGCTTTTTTAAGTGATTGAGTAGGAGGCATGTAGTACTTGTGTGAGTCAGAAAATATTAAAAATGATATTGTATGATGCTGGTATGTGAAGGAAGTACAGGTGTAGTACATATTTTAATCCCTTTTGCAGAAGAGTCCTTTGATCCTGGAGAGATGCTGATCATAAATGACACTCATTTTGACACTACTGAGCTTTGGAGTTCTGCAGAAGAATAAAAAGTTGAGGTTGGCATTGATAATAAAAGGAAAAAGTGATGCAGCTCTTGACCCCTTGGAAGAGTGAGGCAGTTTCAAAAACACAATTATGTGTTCAGTGGCTCACACAGGTGTACCTCTGCCTATCCTAAACTAACAGGATCAAAGAGAATGCTTAAATAATGGCCAGGGAGCAGCATTCCTCATGTCTTAAGAGCACAGTGTTTATAATAATGGTGGAGTAGATGGTTGAGTTATTGCACACTGGCTTATAAAAAACAATGCAAACCTTACCTCTCAAATTTTATAAAATAAAGTGACTCTTGTCCCCAATGTGGAAACTGGAAATCACTCTAGACTCTTGCCTCAGTCTTCTCTAGCAGTGCTTGTATTACTATTATGAGTAGATGAATATACTGATTTTTATTAACTAAATATCAATCTGAATTTTGGACCAAGGAGCTGGCAGTTTGAAGACCATGTCCTTTTGGAAATGTGCATCATCCCTCTTGCAAAGGCCAGCAGCTCTTAAAGCTGGGCTTTTAATGAGGTCTCTAGAGGGTCGACGGAAGAAGGTTGGATATGCCTGAGAGAATTTAATGGCAAGATCGTACTCTCAGTGAATTTGTGTCAAAAAATAAAGTTTTGGAGGAAGAATGATTCTAAAGAATTATACTTTTAATCAACTTTTCAAAATTCATTTTATAATTTTTAAAATAAGAAGGCAATAGAAAAATCTATTCTAGTAACTGTGTCTGAAGTTCTTCCAAGTGTTGTGAAGCTTTTTTGCCCCCAAACTCACCACACTCAAATTATTATCTCCATTAAAATTACAGTAACGTAATACCAAATATGGCGGAGGCTGTGGGGGAACTGTAACTCAGATACACTGCTGTTTAAGACTGAAAACTAACACAGACTCTGGACAATATCTGAAATGTCCTACAGCTTCTACATATGCTTACCCTTTGCTCCAGCAATTCTATTCTTATATAGGTACTCAGGAGAGATAAGTGTGTATGTTTACAAGGGACTTGCATATGAATGTTCTTGGTAACTGTATTTTTAACAGGAAAGTACTAGGAATCTTTTATTTTTATTTTTTGCAAGTACAGGGCACTGAAGCCAGGGGCTTCATATTGAGATACATTTCCAACTCCTTTAAACATTTTTATTTTTATTTTTTCAATTTTGAGACAGGATCTCAGTAAGTTGCTAAATTTCCATAGCTGAGCTCAAACTTGTGATCATCCTACCTGAGCCTCCCAGAGTTCTAGGACCACAGGCATGCGTCACCACACCCAGTGACACTAGAAACCTTAACATGTATATGAGGAGGAGATCAGGTATATAGATTGTGGCCTACCCATGCAATCTTCAGCAATATAAAAAAGCAAAGTATGATTGAGACCATAATATAGATGAGTGTCAAAATTAACTTGTTGAGCAAAAAAAATAATAGTCACAAAATTTTATGAACTTGAAGAACAGACAACAGTACTCTATGGCAATAGAAGTTATAATATTGATTATCTTTGATGGAGAAGGCTATTTACAAGGAAATAAGGGAGCATTCCAGAGAATGAAATATTCTATATCTTCATCTAGGTGATTTTGGTATGGAGGAATACATAAGTAAATCTTTATCAGGCTGTATGCTTAAAATTTAAGAATTTTACATGCAAATTATACCTCAATTAAAAATGGTCAGTAGATAACAACAATGGAGTTAATTCCCCTAGCAATATTCCTCTCAGCTAGTATGGAGAGAATTGAGCTGAAATGTGTAAAGAAAGATTCTCTCGTAGGCTTAATAAATATATTTTAAAAATAAATTATGATTTGTGGCACAAATTAGCACGTGACAGAAGGATTAGTCAACTTCAAGGTTATTCTCTAGAAGTAAGGGGAATAACGTGAAAGATAGCAAAGTTCTTGTAAGAATAGAATCTTACCATCTGCTTTATTCCCATCTTCCATCAGGAGTTTTGCAATGTTGAAGAATCCCTTTGCAGATGCCAGATGGAGAGGCCTATCCCCAACTTCACCACTTACATTTACATCAGCACCAAATTTCAAAAGGAGATGGGTTACCTAAAGATCCATTTAGTTTAAATTAGTACTGAAATCTCAAACAATGATTAATGCAAAGCTTTTGGCAATAGAGAATATATATCATTAATACTTATATCATTAAGACATTCTCTTAGGTTCTTTTCACCTGAAAAACAATAGAAAGCCCTAGTGTGACTGACATGAAAATAACAAAATTATTAGTAGATCACCTAACAAAAAATCCTAAACGGTGCAATTTTAGAGTGGATTCTAAACACCTTAATAAAATAGTGAGAATTTAAGTTCTTCCCATCATTCTATTTTGCCATGCTTAGCAATTAGGATAAATTCCCACATAGAAGCAAGAAAGTGCAGTAGCTCCAGAAACTACAAACCAAAGTCGACAGAATAGAGTTAAGGGGCTAAATCTATCTTGTGGTATAAGGGATTGCCTTTTTATAAATCTAGGAATTTATTCCTAAAATACTCCCCAGAAATGATCCTCCAATATCTGATTCCTACACCAGGCAATTTACAACTTTCTAGATCAATGCCTGTTCAAAGGGAAAAGTTTATTGTTAGTGGCTTGGTCTAATAAGATCTGAAACAGTGTCAGGAGAATAGGAATATCTCTCCTAAACATAACCTCTAGAAGGCTGAACAATGGATTAAAATCACGAGTCTGCAAACAAGGAAAAATATGTGGCATGAAGTGGTACTAGGATGAGAGTCTTGCCTAAGCAACCAGCAGCACCCACTACCAGCCTTGTTATACCTAAGGAAAATTTATTTTCTCAATGCTTGGGATGGAATCTAGTTTAAGCTGAGAGGCAACCTGGTGTAGGATTGAGCTGAGGTCCAGAGTAAGAGAGGCTCAGAATTAATATCTGATTTGTATTAGCTGTGTGACCTTGAGAAAATTGGTCAATTAATATCAACCTAAGTGTCATCATAGCTACAAGAATGATAATAAGACTTAACTCTTGGAATATTGTGATTAGCAAATGAGATGATTTTTTTAAAGTACAGTGCACAATAACTAACATATAGAACATATTCTCTAAGTGTTATCTTTTTTAATTTTATGAATTGAGACACTACTGTTTATTATTCCTGTTCGAGAATTATTCTGAGGACTAAATTGAATCTGAGGAAATACTGAAAGAGTTAAAAAAAGAAATATGTTTATAGTTTTTGGCTTTGAAGACCTACGTTTGCCATTTTTTTAGACCAAATCTTGCCTATTCTATAATTTAAATCATTGTTGTATGTAAATTATCGTCTCTAAAATCACCCATCATCTTCTCTGAACAATCTTTTCCAAATTCTCCTCCTAGCCAGAACCATGAGTAGTTTATTGGATTCTTGACTTGCATGGTAGCTCCATGCTTAGGCCACTGTGGGTCATCTTGCTACTACAGATCTGTGTCCTACTTTTCCATGGATGAAGGACAGACAGTCACAGTAGCTCTGTGTCTCCCCCAACCAGCTAGGAGCTCCTATCCCAAAGATCCGGGGTGGGGGGGTGGGGGAGATGAAGTGTTAAACCATTCAGTAGTGTTTTTCTAGAGTTATTTCATATAATTAATGGGATTTCATTGAGTCATTTACATATGTAGTTGTGCACTTATTCAATAATTTCTCGAAACCTCAGTCCCGCCCCCCAAATTTCAAACATCACCTCAGTGATCCTAAGAGGTGAATCATGACGTGTGTGTCATTAAAATAATGGGTAAAGGAGGCCTCTCAATTGTCCTGACCACTGAGGTGTCAACATAAAAGTGAATTCAAGCTCTAGAACTATGTTGACTTTTCTTAAAGCAGCAAATAAGCATATATCAGTTAGAAACTTTTCAAGAACATGACGGATATTTATAAAATTTGAGGCAAAGTATTAGACAGATGGGCTGGGGTGAAGATGATTGATTTCCTATTGAATGTAGAAAGTTAAGAGCAAGGATTACAGAACCAGGCTTCTACTTATTAAGTATGTCACCTTGAACAAATTATTTAACATTCTGAAGCCTCACAAGATAGGAACGATAACAGTGCTAATGCATAGAGACGTGGTGGGAATCAAGTAAGTCATTACATGTAAAGCACTCAGAAGTGCTTAGCACTCAATTTCAGGTTCTACAAGAAGCGTGTGCATTTTATTCCTTTGTCGGCTAATGGGCAGATCAAAACTTAATTCAGGAGAAATCAGAACAGTGGAAGTTTAGCCTCAAGAACCTTGCTCTCCTAAGCATATATTTCCACTTACACAGACTTCATAAAATTTGATTGCATAACTTTATAATGGATGGATTTGAACTGTCCCTAAAATTGACTATGTACTACTATTATTATACACCTAGAAAATATTGCTCTTGGTGCACATATCCATTCTCCCACTTAGAAATAAGTAAATAAACAAATGCCAAGGAATATGGCACATTAGGCACATTTATATAGCAAATGTATCATTCTCCTTGTCAGCATATTTTAGCAAGTGACAATAGCCTCCATAAATTACTTATGTGCTGCCTTCACACGCAGAAAGTGAGGCCCTTATCATAAAAGAGCCATCCGCATTTTGGCATAATTTTGTAAGACTGTGACTGTATTTTCAGGGAAAGTAAACAAATTTAGCTTTCCACTCATCATGCGTCGAGGCTCTTATATTTTTTTGCTGGGTTATGAGGTTAATTACCAAAGAAGATGATTCTACAAGCAGCATGCATTGTATATGGTCTGTGCCTGAAGACAAAGTAGAGAATTTTTCCATCACCTGAACTTTTGGATTCCACACTTTTAAACCAATTTCCAGTGCCCATCTCTCTAGTGCATCGTGAGCAGCACATCACTGAATCAAGCAACCTCTCCTAGCTGTAGACCATGCTCCTGGGCCCAAGATGCCCAAGCATAGGTCACTAGCAGAGAAATAAAGGCATATTGATGAGAATAGCACAGGGACACAAGGAAAGGGGGACCCTTAGGACCTCCAGGAAGTTAAAAGGGTATAATTCTCCAAAACTGAATGGGCCAAGGGAGATGAAATGAGGAAGAATGAAAATGGAGTGTCAAAGGGGGGTGATGTTTGGTTATTCAACTATATTTGTATTTCTGTTCTATTTAGTTCTTTCCACTTTATTGAGAATAACTAAAAGGCAGTGCTGTAAAGTAGTGAAGAAAAATTTCAATATTTTAAAGTTAAAAATCAATGAATTTTGGAGTTAGAACACATTGCCTTTGATTCTGACTTCACTATTTCAGGCAAACTGGCTGGATTCTATGACTTGTTTCATTGACTGAACAGAAACCAAAAGGAGTGCTTTGGTACCATAGAATGGCCTGGCCTTTAGCACCAGACAGATGTGAGTACAAATTTCAGTTCTTCTACTTGTATCTTGCACACTATCTGACATGAACTTCATATGTAACACTGGTAAGAAGGGGAATATAAGAGATATTTTCAGAGAGTTGTGGTAAAATTAGAAAATAATATTATAATAATAAAGAATTGTGTTTCTTCTGGAGGCTTCCATTCCCTTATTTTATGTAGAAGCTGCCTGCATTTTTTCACTTGTAGCCCCTTTCTTATATCATTTTAAGCTCTTCTTTCTGTTGTCTCATTCCCCATTTCTCTGACTTTCTTCTATCTCATATAAGAACTGTTGCACATCATCAGGGCTAACACATTTTCTCAAATAATCTCCCCATCTCAAAAATCCTTCACTTGATCACATTTGCAAAGTTCCTTTGAAGGTAACTTTCGCAACTTCCAGAAATTAGAATGTAAACACACTTCAGGGCAACTGGTCTACAACATACCATCACTGTAACAAAGATAAAATGAAATTTCTGAAAGAGAACTGCAGGAAGGGCCTTTATGATTTGTTTTGTTGAATTTGCCATTAGCATCATCAGAATGATATATATTAAGCATTTCCAAACATTCAATTTATATCTTCTCATAACAGTACCCCTGTAATGTAGGTACACGACCACAGTTTTTTTTTTTTCCATTTTATAGGTGCAGAAATAAAGGTCAGAGGGATAACCTACACATGGTCATAGAGCTAGGTTGGAATTTTTCAGATCCCGGCTGCCTAATTCCTGTGGCTGTACACTTACCAATGCACTCTACTGCCTTCTCGGTGCACTAAGATAGTCCCTACAAATGATAGCCTGGCAATTGTAATGTTTATATAGGTGTACAAAGCTCCCCAAGGATGGGACTGATGAGACTATCGCAAAATAACTCAAAGAATATCTTAAATATCTTTTGTGGAGATAAGAGTTCAACACAAAGCCTGGCACACTTGAGCATTCCCTAAGCCTTTGGGGCTGTACTGTCACTTACCTGCTCATGCCCATAGTACACTGTAATGTGCAATGGAGTGAAAAAAACAGCATCTTGAACATTGACATTAGCTCCGTGTTGGAGTAACACATCAGGGGCCTGGCCAAGAAAAATGTCTTGGTTAGAAGCCTCATCTGGGCCTTCTACCCATCAAAATTTATTTTACATATCACCATGCATAACTCTTGATCAGAAGTCCTTCCTTACAACACAAATTTCTTCCATCTTCCTTCCCCAAAACGTCCAATATCTTGCTTTTGTCTACAGAATAAAGACCAAGCCCCTTTGTATGACATTTAAGTCCCCTCAATCTGATGGTATACTTTTAAATGTATTTCCCATTACTGTAGGTAGTTCTGTGTCCAATTTCCTATTCATTTGAGGCAGTGTACACAGTATGCCCACAAGCAGAAATTTTTTTTTGGTCAAATAAAAATGTTTTAGCTTTTGTTAAAATGGCATCTCCTCCCAAAATTCCTATTTCCCTCCCTTTATTGCCATCTACTTGGATTAAATGAAATCTTGCTTAGTCATAGATCTCATATAATTTCATTGGTGGCATTTAAAACATCTATTTATCTATAGATTTATCATCCTTACTAAAGAGCAAATCAAGGAAAAAGGATATAATAGATAATCTTTATAATTTCACTGTAGTACATTTTATGAAAGTAGTAATCAAGAAACACTTGTTTAATGAACAAAGAAAGGAGTAAGTAAGTGTAAAACACTACCAGGAACTATTGGGTAGGTGTCTTCATGGAAAGTCACAGACTAGCAATTGTAGGGAAGAAAAAATATTTTTCTCCTACCTATTTTAGGTTCACTGCCTAGGCCCTATGAATTAACTTAACAAAAGATAGATGAATAAGAGAAAATATAATTCTATTAACATGGATATATCAGTAATGTGCTTATACAATATCTTAAAACTTATATATCTTAAAAACTTGTGCTTATGCAATATCTTAAAAAGTTCAGTGAATTTCGTAGAAAAGTAATAAGAGGAAAGAAAAGAATTCTGAGCTACTAAAGGAACAAACTGCAAGAAGGTGAATAAATGGAGGAAACTAATGAAAGATAAGTTGTTATGCAACTCCTCTGGTGGGTTCTCTGGGTTGGTAAGAGTCTCTGGTTGTCTCTGGTGCATGATTAACCTCTTGGTAATGAAGGGAGGAAGGATACTTTTATAAATTCATATCCTTCTCTTGGTCAATATCGAGTCAGATAATTTTCTCATATCTGTTTCTTACTGATATTGTTTAACAAAAATTATTCAGCATGCTTCAAGTTTCTTCACCAAAAGACCTATTTTTAAGTTCTTTTTTCCTGAACAAAGATTGTGTTGTTTTCTTCAGGTGTGTTCATTTTCACTGAGGACCTTCCTAATGCACTATTTTTCAGTTGGTAAGATATTACACATTTGAGAATTTTTTCAAAAGTCTGTTAGAAAAAAGAGGAAGATGTGACATAAGAGCTCAGGGACACCCCCGGCACTAAGAAGGAGTCTTCCGGGCCAGTGTACCACACATAGGCATATAATTGTTAAGACTCCAGAAACTCAACAGAAAAACAAAGTTCTACAAGAAGTCAAAGAAAAGAAACAAATCACATACAAAGGAAAGCCCATCAGAGTCACAGCAGACTTCTCCACACAAACCCTCAAGGCAAGAAGAGCTTGGAGTGATGTATTCTAAGCCCTAAAGGAAAACGGCCTCCAAACCAGAGTGATGTACCCTGCAAAACTATCTTTCAAAATTGATGGAGAAATAAGATACTTTCATGACAAAGAACACCTTAGGAACTTCATGAATACCAAACCAGCACTCCAAAAAATTTTAGACAATATTCTAGGAAAAGACAACGAGGATCACAACCCCAGGAAACACAGCAGAATGAATCCATTGGGAGCAACAATAAATTAAATGAAAAGGGGGAGAATCCAACAAAAAGAAGAAGTCATGACAATGATAAGTCAATATGTATCAGTTACAACTATCAATGTTAATGGTCTCAATTCACCACTCAAAAGAAATGGACTGGTAGAATGGGTCAAGAAGCAAGATCCAACAATATGCTGAACACAAGAAACACAATTCAAAAAGAAACTCATAGACTGAAAGTTAAAGGGTGGAAAACAATACTTCATGTGACAGGACCCCCCCCCCAAAAAGCAGGAGTAGCTATCCTCTTTGCAGAACAAGTGGATTTCAAACCAACACTTATTAAGAGAGACAAAGAAGGACACTACATCCTTGTAAAGAGAACAATCCAAGAGAAAAATATGACAATCATAAATATATATGCACCAATGCTAGTACACCTAACTATATAAAACAAGTACTAACAGACATTAAAAATCAAATAAGCACTAATACAATTGTAGTGGGGGACCTCAATACCCCACTGTCACAAATAGGTACATCAACTAGACAAAAAATAAGAAATGAAATACTAGAACTCAATCAAACTCTTGAACAAATTAACTTAACAGATGTTTACAGAGTGTTCTACCCCACAAAATCAGAATTCATATTCTTTTCAGCTGCACATGGGACATTCTCCAAAATAGACCACACACTCACTCATAGGAGATGTTTAAGTAAGTGCAAAGTAATTGAAGTTAACCCCTATATACTGTCAGACCATAGTGTGATGAAATTGGAGATCAATAGCAAAAGTAACCACAAGAATTTCATACACACATGAAAATTGAACAACACACTTCTGAAAAAGCAATGGGTCACAGAGGAAATTAAAGAAGAAATCAGACAGTTCCTACAATTAAATGACAATGACAATACAACATATCGGAATCTGTAGGACACAATGAAAGTCTTAAGAGAGAAATTCATAGCAGTGAATACTCATATTAGAAAAACAGAGTGAGCCCAATTAAACAAACTGATGCTGAATCTCAAGCTTCTAGAAAAAGAAGAGCAGGACAAGCTCACATCTCATACAAGGGTGAAAATTATAAAGATCAGAGCATAAATCAATGCAATGGAGACCAGGAGAATGATACAAAAAAATCAGTGAAGCCAAGAATTGGTTCTTCAAAAGAATAAACAAAATTGACAAGCCCTTAGCCAACCTTATCAGAAGAAGGAAAGAAAAGGCCCAAATCCATGCAATTAGGAATGAAAAGGGTGAAATTACAACAG